TTTTTTTTTGTCTTTTTTTTATCTAAAAAAATATCAAATATTAATTAAAAATATTAAAAATATATAAAATGTTACTTAAAATTAATTGTTTTTGAAAATTTTGCATGTGTGGACAATGTGACGTAAAAAAAGTGACGTGAAAAAAAGTGACGTGTTCAACACTCCCAAACCTAGTTTACCATTTTTGTCTATATAAGATTCTGTTTTAATTGATTATTTAAATGCAATTGAATCACTCGAGAGTAGTTTAAAACAACTGATAATTTTTAAAATTAATATTAATTATAGGATAGACTCTCATATGCTAGTAATTATGAGTGTCTCTTGTGCCTCAATCTTTCTCATGCCTCAACGACTCTTGATCTAGGGTTATGGAGTTACAAGTTTCTTTCTTAACAATATATTTAGATTGAGGAGAATGGAGGGGATCTAGAGGAAAAGAGAGTCTTTTGCTTTATTTTTTTTTTTTTAAATTTATTTGCCTATCCAAAGGAAAGGAGTGGTTGGGAATGAAAGGATATAATTCTCTTCTCCTCCTCTTCATTCCCCTCAACCTAAACATACCATAAGTCATCACATTTTGGAGCATGGGTTAGGATTGGATAAGATAGGATTCAAAGAGTAGGTAGGGTTAGATTGGGCTTGCCAAAATTGAATTATTTAGGTTAAAACCCATTTTGATTCACATACTTTGGAAAAAAGCTACTTTTGATCTCTATACTTTTAAAAGCCCCCCTTTAGTCCTTAAGTGTAATTTTCGAACCCTTTTTTAGCCCTTTTATTAGTTAAATGATGACATGGCACTATATTATGTTAAGTTTTTAATTTTTAAAATAACATGAAAATTAAATTCACAATTGAAAGGTTTCTTTAATGATGTGACAAGTTAAAGTGAAATCACTCAATGAGGTGGATCCACCTTGCATCGGAGAAGAAGATTTATAGATGTTTTGAAGAACAATTTATAATTCAACTAGATTGCTACATCATTAAACCAGTGCCACATAAGCCTTTTGCATTTACTCCTTATTTTAAAATTAATTATTTTTGAAAATTTTACATTTGTATACAATGTATTGTAGAAAAAAGTGCGATATTTAGCACTCCCAAACCTATTTTACCATTTTTGTCTACATTCGATTCTGTTTGGATTGACTATTTAAAGTTAGTTGAATCATCTAATAGTAATATAAAATAACTAATTGTTTTTAAAATTAATATTAATTATAGAAAATATTTTTAGGTGTCAATAAATTATGAGTCTTTCTCGTGCTTCGACAACTCTAGATCTAGTGTTATGGAGTTATGAGTTGCTTCCCTAAGTGATCACATTTTGGAGCATGCATTAGGATTGATAAGTTAAGATTCAAATGGTAGGTAGGATTAGATTGGACTTGCCAAATTGAATTATTTAGGTTAAACTTCATTTTGGTCCATGTACTTTGAAGAAAAATCCCTTTTTGGTTCTTATACTTTAAAAAGCTCCCTTCTAGTCCCTTAAGTTTAATTTTTCATCCTCTTTTTAGTCTTTATATTAGTTAAATGATGAGATGACACTGCATTCCATTAAGTTTTTAATTTTTAAAATGACGTGAAAATTAAAGCTAATAGCTTGTATATATTATTACACAGGAAATAGATCTATTTATTATACATAAAGAAATTATAACTTCTTAAAACCAAATTTATTACACAATAGTTCTTATAAGCAATTTCAATTTACATTGTAACTCTCATGTTAATGATTGCCATATGCGATATCAACCAATCTAAGAAGAGAAAATCATTACTCATATTCGATAGTGATGAATTTGGAATGGCTAAGAAGTAATTGTCTCTGTCGGTGGGGAATAGAAACAGCCAAGAAATAATTGTTTTTGTTGGCAAATTTCATATCACATAAATTTTCTTTGGTGAAATACAAGGCCTCAGCCTGTTACTTAAGATCAAGTAATATGGGAATAAATCCCGACTATGTCAACAAGTAATATTTATTAGATGCATTTTAGGTAGAGGTTCCTCAAAATACAGGAATCTTTGCTGTTAGGCTGAGGCTCCTTTACAAAAGTCTTTCTGCAATTCATAGCCCTCTGCATTTGATAGTTTGTCATCGATATGAAGTTACCACCCTCCTTTTTTTATCTAATGCAGAGGTAATATTGATACGGCCAAATTCAGCTCGAGTAAAGCATCCAGCTTAAAATGTCATAAGCACAAATGAAGAAAAACAATGTAATATAAAAAAGAGTGCTTCGTTTGGTAATTATATAACTGTACTAAACTGTAAAATAAAAATTATTAAATAAAGGATGGACCTAATATTGAGAACTTGCTCGTCATCCAATAATTTAAGTTGTGTAATAAATATTGTACAATACATTTTTGTATAAAGAAAACTCTACCATTGGCAGTAAATTTAGCAAACTCTCCCAATTGCAATACACAATTTTGCACTTCAACTCAACCAAAAATGAGAAAACTCAACCAGGCAATATTATAGCATGTACCCTTCATTTGGAAACACCAGAAAAACAAGCCAAAATATGACTCAATCAACCAATGCTACAATCAGAGAGAACTAAAACTTTTAACAAAAAACAGGAGACGTCATAAAATTGACAGAAATATCTGCAACGCAGCCTCAGGAGATCTCCAGATGACAGCATCTGAACCCGTTTGCAACATCACAGAGACTACTAAAACTGAGATATCAGCAAGTAAATCAGAAAAAACGTCAGACAGAAACAGAGCAGAAGCAGCGATTGAGGAACTAAATATTGGAAATCAATCTAGAAGTTTTGTATTTGATTTTACCCCAAGCCACAATGGATCCAAGTAAAAACTACAGTACGGCTACCACTGACAATTACTTAATATAAACAAAGGTTTAAACAAACTATATAGTATGATTTCAAATTATTTTACTTGGCCCACCTCAATCTTAAAAAATTAATGTAACATTATTTGGATCATACTTATGATATATTAAACTAATCATAAAGCTAGTCAATAAAAGTGAATGGAACATTATAAAATTTGGGAAAGACTGTTCAAGATCAAGGCAGGCAAAAATGCTTGCACAATCAGACGTGCGCATGAGACAACAAAAAAAAAAAAAGAGTAAATTACGATTCCTTTGTAGTTCTCACTTTCCGTATAAAACTCAAAACAAAATTTCATGAGAGAGAACGAGACAGAGATGGACGGTACAGCAAAATTGGAGCTATGGTGGTCTGTGATTCTGATCATCATTTCTGCTGCGCTGATGCGGGTTTGTGAAGTGATGTGGTTGAAGCCGAGAAGGATTCGTTCAAAACTATCAAAACAAGGTATTGGAGGGCCAAAGCCAACCTCCATCTTGCATGGGAACATTCAAGAGATGAGCAAGATTCAATCTATGGCTACCAGAACCATTCCTCCACCCCTTGGCCAGGTTGTGTCCCATGATTGGTATCTCTCCACCTTCCCATATCTCCAGAAATGGAGTCAGGAGTATGGTAATGCTTCATTTTCCTCAATTTGATTCTAAAAGTTTTGTTTTTTCTTTTGGTGAAGCACTATATGCATTCTTAGTAGTGCTTATTGAAAAAAATGTTTTATGACAGTCTTGACAGAAAAGCCTTGAACTCAAAAAAATTCCTTTTTCAAGTAATAAGTGAGTTTTAGTAATTAGATATTTCTGATTGCATATACATTTTTATGAAGATTCTTCAAGTACTGCTACCAATATTTTCCTGGATAATGAACAAAACGCTAAACTATGCAGAGATTTAAAGAAAAAAGAGAGAAAAGAAAAGATGCTCTCAGTTTTGGTGTATTTATTATTATTTTTTTTGGCCGTAGTGTTGGCATCTTGTTGGTCTCTAGGTTTGGGAATCTTCTGAGTTTTCTAAAGATCTTGTGAAACCATACAAAAACAATAACCTTACCTAATATTCTGCCTTATGAGCATCTACTATGGTTTTTGGAGGTAGAGCTTCACTTATTTGATACCTTTTCTTTAATCTGCTATACACAAAGTATTTATTGAATGAGGGGAGAGTATAACTGGTAAAAAAATCAGGGACTCAAACCCTAATTGGGACATACTAATTTGGAAGCTTTGAGTTTGAGGTGCAAGCTTTGATGAATTTTAGATCAAACCCAAGGATTTGGGTAGTCTTGAATAGATTAGCTAAGGTGAGGCCCATTAAGAAAAGAAAAAAAAGCTTAGTCAAGCTCAACTAACATGTGAACAAATAGAATATGGCCTATATAATCCTTTTAGATCCAATCTACCAACAGAAATAGAAACCTAAAAAATCATAGATGTATACTCTTGACAGCATATATCATGTCAGTCATCAAAGTGAGTTAAAAAAGAAAAGAAATCGAAGCCTTTACCTTGATGGAAAAGATAAGAAATATGTGGTCCACTTGTCAGAAGAGTACTAGAATGGAATGAATATATATGATACATGAAAGAATTTGAGATTATCTGGGTTAGAGATGACCAAAAATTGATGATGCAGGTTCAGTATACATGTACTCAACGGGGAATAAGCAGCATCTGTATATTAGCCAACCAGATTTGTTGAAAGAACTGAACCTGCACAAATCCTTGGCTTTAGGAAGACCAACCTATCTCACTGCAGCAACTGAGCCTATGCTTGGCAATGGTGTCATTAAGGCTAATGGAGAAAGCTGGGCTTATCAGAGAAAACTCATTGCTTCAGAGTTCTTCCTGCACAAAGTTAAGGTAAAAATTCAGAACTTTGTCTGTTTGAGTTCATCATGTTAAAATCAGCTTAAGCTAAAAGCATAAATTGTCAGTTGACTACCCTTGCCTGATGATGAAAGCATCAACAAGAGTACAAACCCAAACAGACGATATGTTGCAATTTAATTAACAGACAAAAAGCAGCTAGGATTCAAACTTTAGACTACCTTAATTTTCATTTTAGTTTTTCACATGTTCAGGCTGTATATTTTAGCTAAAGCATTTCACCTATCAGCATTTAGTTTTACTTAGATGTTTTGACAAGTCATCATTAAGAACTAAGTATGTGTAGATGGTGAATGAATTTTAAGGGTACATTGGGTCTAATGGAGGAATCTACCATGGCCATGGTAGAAGCATGGGAGAAGCACATAACAGAAAGTGAGGAAGGAGTTGTGGATATAACAGTTGATGAGGATATGAAAAGCGTTTCTGCAGATATAATCTCCAAAGCTTGTTTTGGGAGTTCCTATGTCCAAGGCAAGCAGATTTTTGAAAAGTTAAGGGCCCTCCAAGAGGCCATGTCCAAGCCTAGTATGCTATTTGGACTTCCACAGTTCAGGTAATTTCTCATTTACCTTTTTCCCTAACATTATTTTTGGTACAGAGGAGGGTTGAGAAAAGAAAGGATAAATTTTTCCCCTTCTTTTGAAAGTTACAATTGAAGGGATGCTTTTTTACCGTTATACTAAATGGGAAAAAAGGGTGGGATAAAGGGAAATGGAAAGTTTACCATGAAATATGTTTCAAGTAACAGTTTTATCCATGTAAATGTTATTGAAAAGCACCAGAATGGTTAGTTACTTTATTAGTATAATTTTAACATTCCCTTCATATATAAAAGAAAAATTTGCAATATCAAATCATAACTCACCTTTGACCATCCTTTTTATCTTTATTACAATACAGAAGAATGTGAAAATCTCACCTTTCCTTCTTTCAATGTATCCCTCTTCTATGTCCAGATTTCTTCCAACAAAGGGTAATAGAGCAATCTGGAGATTAAAGGAAGAGGTAGATTCATTCATACACAGGGTAGTCAAGGCTCGCCAAGAAAAAAGACAACAGGATGGAAAATCTGAGGACCTTCTGCAGATGATACTTGACGCTGCCAACAATGACAGCCAAAAACATGCGAGTAAAACTGATCACTTTATAGTAGACAACTGCAAGAATATTTACTTTGCAGGCCATGAAACAACTGCTCTTACAGCATCTTGGACTTTGATGCTTCTTGCATTGTATCCTGAATGGCAAGAATGTGTTCGTGCTGAGATTTCCAAGATATGTGGTGATCCTCTGCAGACATGCAGGCTTGACTTGGACACCATTCCCCAGTTGAAAACGGTATTTGAATAATCAAATATTCTATATGATTAAAAAAATTCTTAAAAACAAAAATAAAAAGGATAAATTAGAAAATGAAAAGTATATCGAAGAATGTTACCTTTTAGTTTTATCTTCTTGCAGCTAACAATGGTCATTCAGGAAAGCATGCGTCTCTATGGACCTGCTATTATTATGGCAAGGGAAGCTTTTGCAGATATCAAGTTAGGAGATCTTGTTGTGCCAAAAGGCATCCATATATGGAATCTGATTCCAGTATTGCACCGGGACCCTGAAATATGGGGGGTGGATGCCGGGGAGTTCAAGCCAGAAAGATTTGCAAATGGGATAACTGAAGCCTCCAAATATCCACAAGCATACATGCCTTTTGGTTATGGTACCCGACTCTGCATAGGCCAGACCTTTGCAATGTTGGAACTGAAGATTATACTCTCTCTCTGTCTATCTAGATTTTCCTTTTCCATCTCCCCAAAATATTGCCACTCTCCAATGTACAAAATGTTGTTAATGCCAGAACATGGTATGAGACTTCTGGTAAAAAAAGTGAGCTAAAGTGTGACTTAAAGCTGAGAATGTCCTAGTATCAGTGCTGAAGTATAATTATATCAGTGCTGAAGCATAATTTCTATGCATTTGTGAAGAATAAGATTGCCAGTTTACCGTATAGACTTTCATAATCAATATCTGAGTAGTTAAATCAAATCATTCATCCTTAGTAATGTCAGGACACATTTTGTGTTTGTTCTCAGATTATTTCTCAAAACTTGATATACAACCAGATACTTTATATTCAGTAAGAAATTTGAAAATACCTGCTTAATTCATGGCAAGATTTTTATTTTTTCTCAGTGATCTAAGCTAAACACGATGGAAGCTGTAGTGTAGTCATGCTAATTTCTCCTTGCAATTACTAATGATGAGGTGTATTCATACTTTCCACCATTATTAACTAAAAAGCAGTAAAATGGCAATGAACGAATCCAAAAAGTTTTCCCAATGTCATGCTACAATCAAACAGAAACAAAACTTGTAACACAAAACTGGACAGATCATAAAATCTTCCAGAAATATAACATGGCAACCTCTGGATATGTTCAGATGAAAGCATCTGAAGCTGTTCACAGCAACATAGAGACTACCAAAACTGAGATATCGGCAAGTAGATAAAAAAAAACAGCAGACAAAAACAGAGCAGAAGCAGCAATTTGGAACTAAATATCGAAAATTAATCTGAAAGATTGAATTTGATTTACACCACACCACAAGGAATCTAGGAAAATACTAAAGTAGGGGCGTTCGTCTTGGCTAGTGGCAAACCCTTAATTTAAACAAAGGTCTAAAAAACTATGTAGGTTCATTTTTTCTTTTCTTTTTTTTTTTTTCAACAGAACAATGGCATATTTAACTTCTGTAAACACTTAAACATTGATGCCAAATAGTGTGGTTTCAACTGATTGCTTTTGGCCTGTCCCCCTCTCCAAATATTAATGTAACATCATGTGGGTCGTATATACGTATGAAATATTAAACTTGTCAAGAGGCTATAGTCAACAAAACATATTTAACTCTTGATCATTTCATTAAGAAAAAACATTACAGCTACAAGTTTTAAAATCGTATCTTTCATAAATATTTTCTTTGTTTAGTTCAAGAACAACTATATTATTTGCCATCGCAAAATCTAATAATTGGAAGGAACATTATAAAATTTTGGAATGGAATTAATGTGGATACAAGTGCTAAGATGCTTGCACAATCATATGCACACATAAGGCAAAAAGAGTAGATTATGGTTTCTTACGAGTTCTTATTCTCTAATTAAAAGTCTAAACGTAATTTTGTTTGAGAGAGAGAGAGAGATGGAAGGTAAAGCAATATTTGATCTATGGTGGTCTGTGATTCTGAACATCATTTCTGCCGCACTGATGCGGGTTTGTGAAGTGATGTGGTTGAAGCCGAGAAGGATTCAATCAAAACTATCAAAACAAGGTATTGGAGGGCCAAAGCCAACCTCCTTCTTGAATGGGAACATGCAAGAGATGAAGAAGATTCAACGTATGGCTGTCAGAACTACTCCTCTATCCCTTGGCCAAGTTGTCTCCCATGATTCGTATCTGTCCACCTTTCCATATCTCCAGAAATGAAGTCAAGGGTATGGTAATGCTTCATGTTCCTCATTTTTTATTTTAATGTTTTCTCTGCATGTGTGTGTGTGTGAGTTTTTTTTCCCTTTGGGTTAAGTACTATATATACCTTTTTAAATTAAAATGTTATTTTTAGTAATTAATTTATTGATGTTTCTATTTGCATATAAATTTTGATCAAGACTCTTCAAGA